CTCTACAGTGGAAGCGGAGCACAGATTGGAATGCAGAATGTGGTGAGTGCGCCCCGAGTGCAGTAGTCAGTGCAAGAACATCCATAAAGCTTTGCTTCTGTAACAGGGCAAACTCACCTAAATCCTGTCCGTAAATCTTGCCTGGCATAACAAGACTTTATATGTCTGTGACTATCTGTGAATATACCTGACTCATCACCATAGTGCCTTTCAACCCATCCCTACTCAACTCAACTGCTCTTCCTGCCTTATGCAGATATTTAAAATTCTTTAAGACTTCTGGTGAAGCCATAGGGTTTTTATACTTAATATTACTTCATAGCACCAGAAGTTCATAACTCATGAATATCACAGATGTATAAAATAAAAGGGAAGATTTTTTTCTGTGTATTCTAAATCTCTTTGTTGTTGGATCATATGTGAGTCATGAGCTTTTATTTCAAAGTAGTAATTATATCACAGCAGTCATTTTTTAAAATGACAAGAATAATGGCAAAAAGTATGTGTGTGTTTTTTCTCTCAAAAAAAGTATTAGTGTCTCTGTTTTTCTTGCTTTTAAAAGTTTCTTCAGTCTTGATCTGAAAATGAGAAATTCAAGGAAATTCTACATTGGCAACATTCTAGCTTTTCTCTGTATTTTGTAAGAATAAAAGCATCTGGTATCACTGTCCTTTGGCCCCTCCTCCTGTTCTCTGTTATCACCTCATCAGAACAGTGCTAATTTTTATTTACCTTGTGAGTTATCTCATAGAGTAATAAATGACTCTGTTTAGTGGCTACACTGATTTGATTAACTCTTTTTTGTGTTATTACATCTTTAATGTTCTTGTATGTAATTTACCTTCGGGTGTCAGTTTTTCTTAACTGTATAACATCTTTGATGTCTCACTTTGTCTTACACTGTTTTCTACTTATAAATCCACACAGCAATTGATAGTTTAATTACTTCAGTTGTTTTGAAGTAGTTTTAGTGAACTAAATTGTTGGAATGTGTGGTGTTAACTGTCTCACTGAGAGGTGGAAAGTGTCACTCTTCTGTATTCAGCTGCCACAGTTTTACTGAATTCTTGATTCTGCTTCTTAGACTCAGAGGGCTTCCCAGTGGATCTTGTGTCCTGCCTTTGCCTTCTGTTTTGCCCCTTGAGTAGTGTGGTCTTAAGGATCTACGCCTGCCCTTTGGTGTCAGCACTGAGTTTTTAGGGCCTCTGCAGAGAGGGGGGAAACTATAAAATTAGCACCATCTCCTCTGCCTCACTCTCTCTAACTTTTAACCATTCTTACATCTGGTCTGCTCTGTTGAGCTAATCACATTTTAAAAAGTTGGGCTTTTATGTCGTGTCTGTGTGTGTGTGTATGTTATTTGGAAACATATATTTCACATATATGTAAAATGAAGCTTCACATACATTCTTTTTTAAGTTAAATTTATTGGGATGACATTAGTTCATAGAGTCATATACGTTTCAGGTATACATTTCTCTGATACATGACCTGTTATTGCATTGTGTGCCCACCACCCCAAGTCAATTCACCTTCCATCGCCATATATTTGGCCCCCTTTACCCTTTACTACCTTGCACCCCCTTTCTTCTGATAACCACCATGCTATTGTCTGTCTATTTCAATTTTATATTCCACATGTGAGTGAAGTCATATGTGTCATATGGTTCTTAGCTTTTTCTGACTGACTTATTTCACTTAGCATAATATTCTCAAGGTCTACCCACATTGTCACAAATAGCATCTTTTCTTATGGCTGAGTAGTATTTCATTGTATATATGTAGCACATCTTCTTGACCAAGGAGCCAAAAACACACAATGGAGAAAAGAACGCCTCTTTAATAAATAATGCTGAGAGAGTTGGAAAGCCAAATGCAAAAGAATGAAGCTAGACTATAGCTTGTCCCCTTGTACAAAAATTAATACACATATATTTTTAAGTGAAACTTGGTCCTGTCTGGAGCATGAGCAGCTCTCGGAGAGATGCTTTTGGGAAAATGAGGAAGCAAGGATTACCTTTCAAGCCAATGAGAGAATTGACCAGCATGTTGGAGTAAGTCAAAGCCAGACTTCCCTCACATCAGGTGTTTTATGCACTTGCTATGCTAAGAGCACTGAGGATAGCATGTGCATTAGCACATTTTTACACAACCACGTACAAAATAAATCATATCTGTAATGTCCGCTTGGGAGGTTCCATATTTTCTACAAAGAGAGCTAAAATATGAAGCTACAGCTAACTGTTTAGGGCAGCCAGAGTATCGAAGTGGAAAGGCGGGGAGTTCAAAGAGGTCGGAGATCACTGTGGTCCTGAGAATATGCCAAAGAGATGAGACTTGAGCCAAGCCCTATAAGGATGCTTGTTATTAACTTGGCCTCCACTATCCCCTGCTTCTTAACCGTTAATGGATCTTGGCAATTGGTTTTGCCATTTTACAATAAAAGATACTTAGGGAGAGCCTAATAATGTGTATCCTAACACTTTGTGCATTTCTGCTCACAAGTTAACTTCTCTTAATTCCTGGATCCTAATAATAGAAACTGTTAAGTTCTCATGCAAGTGTAGCCGTCCTGCTTTCCTGACAGTTTCTTTACTCTCCATTTAGAGACTAAATATATGGGGCCTGGGATCATGTGATTTTTATCCTTACTTCTTAATTCCCTAGGGATAAGACTGAGCTGCTTCTTACATTGTAATCTAATCACTTACTGAGAGGCCTCTGTATTTGTTGAAGGTGATGGATTAGCTTTTCAAGCACCAAGGCCCATACAGTGCTGGATGTCTGAGGCATCCCCATCACCTGCCTTCCCCTGAACTCTATTTCTGTTCCAACCAAATGTGCTCCTGCCTTTTTTCCCGGATCACCCCATTTCCATAGCCCATTAAATACACTTTTAAGGAGATGTCAAGACTTCCCCTAAGAGTATGGGCTTTTATTTGTGACAGCACATATGCATAACCCAGGAGATAGGCACCTTGGCAGATGCGATCTGACCCAGTACAGAAAAAACCTTAATTGAGAGCATCTAAGTTAATTTTTAAAAACTTCAAGTCAATATAGCCTTATTTTTTTAAATTAAAATGGTTTTAGGTACTACGTTTCAGCTCAGTTAATATAATAAGCTTTCCTCAAATTCAGTTGAACTTTTGTCCAATTCACTAAAAAACATTTTCAGTAAACTGTTGCTTTAGACAGCTAATGAGCTTTTTCTCTGTGGTGCTTTTACACAAAGGGGCTGGTTTCCATATGTGGGCCTTGATTTATACAGTTGATCTCTGTTGCTCCTCTTTGTGATCTTTCATTCTGTTCATTCTGGTTGCTTTGTAAGTTTGAAAAAAAATAGCATGCATGGAGACCTGGAAAGAGTAGGTATGAGCAAAATTATTCTTAAGCAAAATTTTATATATTGTAAACTATTTTTCATAGACAATCATCTTGAAACTTGTCTCAAAGAAATATGGAGATCTTTTCACCATTAACACTGCAGAGATTCATCTATTTAACGTTAAACAAATACCTAGTGGCTTCCCACTCTGTGCCAGATAGTTCCAGGTGCTGAGGATTTCACAGTGAACCAGACAAGGGCCCTGCTCTTGACCAGCACACATTCTGACTGTAGTTGCAGTGGAGATGCAGGCAACAAACAAATCATCACATACACAACCCTATCCACAACTTTATTACCTGTAGAGCTGTTGAATTTAGTCTCATGGTGCTAGCCCCCACCTTGAAAGCGGTGTTTGAGGGCTTTATTCTGGTACAGGAGAGAAAGGATGGGAGGGTCAAGTTTCTCATGGTTAAACTGGAGCTAAATGTTCTTTACTCTCAGAATTATAAAGATGAAAACTCATTCATTCATTCAGCAAACCTTTATTGGACAGTGTATCAGTCAGGGTTCTATTATGTTCCAGGCTTTATAATACCTATCGCATACATGCATGCCCTTAAGTACTTCACACTCTAGTTGGAAAGGTGGAGGCATAAAATAAATAATTTCAGATAAATGTTACAATGGAAACATGTCAATGGGAGAACAACAAAAGCAGTAACTAACTGCCTGGGGGAATGCTTTATCATACAGTGACCTCTGACCTGTATCTTAAAGGTGACTAGAAACTCAGCAGATGTTTACTGAGCACCTTCTGTGAGCCACGCACAGTTGTAGGCACTGTAGACAGAAGTGAACTAGGCATAGTCCCTGCTCTCTTGGCAACAGAGGAAGAGACAATAAAAATATAAACAACAAAAAATTATATATTAAGAGGTAATACTGCTAATGCCAAAAAATAAAGAGTACTGAAGTAAACAGAGATGATAGGTGCTGTTTTAGAGAATGTGTCTAATGAGATGACATTAGACCTGAAGCCCAAATGACATGAGAGATTGAGACCAAGAAGTAGGGGGAAGCCATTTCAGACAGAATGAACAGCATGAAAAAGGCGTAATAATCATGAAAGCATGGTATCTTTAGTGCAAAGTGGGATATTTTCACTGAGCATGCAGGTAGGTGGGGTGTAGGGAGTTGGGGGTGTTTGGTAGATGAGGCTGGGAAAGAATTGGCAGAAGGAGGCATGGAGAGAGGGAAAGGGGGAAAGAAGGAGGGGCCAAATGGTGAAAAGCCATGTGTTCCATTCTCAGGAGTTTCAATGTTGACATTGTTTACTGGGGGAAGAGCAGCTAGATTTTGGGGGACAAAATTAAGAGGAAAATGACATGGTTAGATTTTTGTTTGGTCATATTTGGTCTGGTTTTTGGCAAATTACTCTACCAGCAGTATGCAAGATAAAGTTGAAAGCAGATGCAGAGGAGGCTAATTATAATGTTACTAGAGGCCTGGTGCATGAATTTGTGCATGGCTGTGGATCCCTCCGCTTGGCTGGTGATCAGGGCTGACCTGGTGCGGAGGGACCGCAGAAGGTTGGCTGGCCACTGGAGGTTGGTTGTGGGAGCTCACTGGCAATCAGGTAACAGCTCCTGCTTTAAGCCTCTGCCCCCTGATGGTCAGTGTATGTCATAGCTACTGGCCAGTCATCTGGTTGCAACAGACGCGCGTAGGCTTTTATATATATGATGATAATGCAGGTGAAAAATAATGTGACCTAAATTAAAACAGAAAGATAAGGCTAGAGAGAAATGGCAGAGTTCAGATGTTTTAGAAGACCTATTAAATAAGATTTCATTCCCTACAAAGTATAGGCAAAGTCAAGAACCATTCCTAGGTTTAAGCTTGGGTATGATGCCATTAACCAGCTTAAAGAACCTTGGAGGAAAGCAGGTGTAGAAATGCAGATAATGAATTTTATTTGGGGCCCTGGGAAATACAGAACTGGAAATTAAAAGTCAAGACTGAAATCAGATTTGGCTGGGACCAGCATTTCATGGAAATTTGAAAAGGAGAAGGAGCAAGAAAATTAGTCAGCATTGTCCGATACTACACAGAAGTTTAATGGGATAAGGATTTTTTAAAAGCCATCAGATTTGACAGTTGGAAGTTCACCAATTACTTCAAGAAGACCAATTTCAATAGACGTAGGTGAGGCAGAGACACATCATGCTTGAATTGGAGAGTGAACAGGATTGTCCAGCCTAGGTCACTGTCTTCTTAAAAGCTTTGAACTTGATGTTTTTCTTCTCTTCCCCCCACCCCCTCTCTCATTGGCTTTTTCCACCCATACCCTAAAACTGGATGCCTGAACTGCAGACATAGTGAAGGGGAAAATATTGTAAGATTCTTAGGTCTTTGATCTGTGAGAAGCCAGGATTAGAGGAACCTGGTGTTGGTGAGTAGGCATTGCAGAGAGCGATCAGTGGGGAAGAGCTGGTAAGGCCAGGCCAGAGACCTGCCTCCAGAGGGGAAGGGAGATGAAGCACATAGGTCTCCAATATAGGCAGGAATTCTGAACCTGGAAGCTGAAGTAGGATGAGATGCAAAGGACTTGAAGGGCTGGTGGGAGAAACATGGAATTCGTCCAGAACTTGGCCCCAGTGTGAGAATGGAATCTAGCAAAGTGTGGGGGTGAGGGGTAGAACCTGACATCAAGTTAATGTTAACTGGAAAGTCAGGCAGGGTTGTTTAGGTTTCTTGGGGCACACACAGGGTGGGGACATGTGCAAAGGAGAGACTATCAGCAGTACTTGTGACCATCAAGATAGCATGAGGGACAGTTAATGAATTGAAAGCTAGTCCTAGAAATACCTGGCCCATAGACGTTTAACAAACATTTGTGAAGCCGAACTCGGCCGTTCAGATCATGTGGAGGAAAGGAATGAGATACCCGAGTTCTGAAGAGCTGTAAGTAAATTCTTAGGTCCCTTCAGGGATAGGATGGAGGCGGTAACTAAGGAATCCCAGGCAGCTTGGAGGTGCAAAGCCCAGGGAGACCTGCACCTCGGAGAGAGTTGGAAATAAAGTTTAGAGTAGAAGACCCATTCCCTTAAACCTGGAGATACCAAGACTTTACCAAGACTTTACAGGTGGGTCTGTTGGATTTCCCCACGGGGGAGCACACCCTTGGCCTGTTTCTCTTGCCTGCACTGCCATCTCAGCCCTCTGGGGGGCGGGGCTCGAGGGCAAGGCAGGTGGGTGGCTGTTCTGAAGCCTCGAGAGCCATCAGTTCCTACCAGACTTCCTGCGTGGAGTGCGGTTTTACTTCATGGCGGAGCGCAAGCCCTCCCTCTTGTCCCCTCAGCCAGTTGGCGGTGGGGGCGGGCCCAGAGGGCCAATGCTAGTGGGTGTTGACACCCCAATTTGGTTGAGTACCCAGGCGGCCCCTGGCAGCTTGATGGTCAGGCCACGGATCCAAATGGGAGTCTGCCCTGGCCTTGAGGTGTGGGGGGTGCCCCTGAGTCCCCCGTCATACAGACTGCGGTGCGGCGTGGTGCCCTGCGAGGCCCGGGTCGGAGCTGGCGAGGCGGGGGCCTGGCTGCAGGGCCCCTGGGAAGGCGCTCTCCGGGGGCCCCACAGCGCCCTGCGGTACATCCAGAGGCTGAAGCTGCCCGAGGACCTCTCGGCCGTGGAGAAAGAGATGGAGCAGCTGGCCAAGGAGCTGAGGGAAAGGAGGATGACCCTTGGCTACTCGCAGGCCGACGTGGGGTTCGCCGTGGGCGCTCTGTTTGGAAAGGTGCTCAGCCAGACGACCATCTGCCGCTTCGAGGCCCAGCAGCTCAGCCTCGCCAACAGGTGGAAGCTGCGCCCGCTGCTGAGGAAGTGGCTGGAGGAGGTGGACACCAAGAACCTTCTGGGCTTATACAGAATGGAGATGATCCTGCAGCAGGCACAGAAGTGGAGACGGGCGAGCAGGGAGCGGCGCATCGGAAACAACCTGGAGCAGTTCTTCCTGCAGTGCCCGAGGCCCACGGCCCAGCAGATGAGCCGCATCGCTGAGCAGCTCCGGCTGCGGAAGGACCTGGTCCAAGTGTGGTTCTACAACCGGAGCAAGATGGGCAGCCTGCCAGCTAATGATTTCCGCCTGCCGGAGGAAGTGGGGGCTGCCAGGCCTCCCTTCCCAGGGGGAACAGTATGCTTTCCCCTGGCACCTGGGCTCCGGTTCGGTCCTCCCAACTACGGGGGGCCTTACTTTGCACCCCTGTACTCCTCAGCCCCGTTCCCCGAGGGCGGCGCCCTCCTCTCTGCCCCCAGCACCACTTTGGGCGTCCCCCGGCTTTCCAACTGAGGGCCTGCCCTCTGGGGAGAGCCGTGCTGGGGAGCATTCGCATTAGTTCTGGGTCCCTGTCTAAAAAAGTTAAGAATCCACATGTAGGAAGGCGTCATAGGGTGGGAGTAAGTTTTTAAATCTTAGGAATGGAAATTGAAGTTTGTTCTGCTTTGTGTTTTTCCTTTTGTTTTTCCCTAGCATTGGTTTTAAAATACATTACAATACATAGATGGTTTGGATATTTTGTTTCTTTTTTGTGAATTGAATATTAATTGTGTCGCATTCCTTGTGGTTATTAGTAAACAGGGTTTAGTTTTTATACACGATAATGAATGAAAAACTCAAGGCACAGAAGACTTTCAGTATACCGTTTTTATCAAAAACAAGTAGAGCCTCATGAAAACCCAGGGTCCAGGATATTAGTTACCTTCAGGGGAGGGTTTGAGGAAGGAATAAGAGGAGTACACAGAACCTGCCTGGAGTCCTTGAAGAAACACACATGTTGCTTGTTCTCTCCTTCTTGAAAGATGCGGATTTTTTTCTAGTACACTTTTTCATGTAGAGTGCCCCAGCTTACAGTGAGGGTCTCAATTCAGATCTACACCTTATGTAGCACAACAGGTTTAGCTCCTGTCCTGCCGAGTCATTGTATTTTAGACCCATTTGTAACAGAGACTGGCAAACTGGATCGCATTGGCTCAGCTCCCGCATAACTCTGCTTTTGAGCTCCATTTGGTTTACTTCCTGGGAATTTCCCTTTCTAAAAAACCTCTTAAGACTTTTTTTTTTTTAATTCATTCTCACCCAAGGATATTTTTTCCATTGACATTTAGAGAGAAAGTGGAAAGGAGAGAGGATGGGGAGAGAAAGACATTGAGTGGTTGCCTCCTGCACACTCCCCAATTGGGGCTGGGGATCAAACCTGCAACCTAAGTAAATGCCCTTGACTGGGGATCAAACCCAAGATCCCTTGATCTATGGGCCAATGCTCTAATCTAGGGGTGTCGAACTCAATCAGAGAAGGGGCCAAAATCTAAAATCCAGCCTAAATCGCGGGCCGAATGGTTTACTGAACAGTCATAAACTGTCATTGTGATGGAAACGCAGCGGAGTGCAGTGATGACAGCGCGATGCGGGCCACATTGCAAGGCCTGGCGGGACGGATTTGGCCTGCGGGCCTTGTGTTTGACACATGTGCTCTAATCACTGAGCCAAATTGGCCAAGGCTTGAACTCACAGGCTATTTAGAGTATATTTGTGATAGATGACACAGCATTCCCTGGTGGCTTTTCTGGTAGTACATCTTAAGTTACCTTTCCAATCTCTTCTATAAAATTGGTCTTTACTGGCTTTCTATTTCTACACCTCAGTTCTGGTCATCATATGCCAAACAAATACCATTCAGACTCTATGTTTTCCCACATCTGGTGCCATATCTCTGCATGTGATATTTATTGTTTTATAACTTATCTGTCCCTAAATGTTATATCTCAGTGTGTATTCTTTTTGCTTACTAGTCTTGTCAGTTTTTCTTTCTCTACTTAATCAGTCTTACAAAGAAGTCATCCCTGAGTATTTTCAAAGAACAAGCTTTATTTTTTCCAGTTTTTCTGATTTATCTCAATGTATGTATTTTGCTGTTGTTCTCAATGTCTGAAGAAAGAGAGCTTAGTGAAAATGGAGCTAAACTTCAATTGTTTGGCCCTAGATTTAATAGGTGATTAATCACTAACCTACTAAAAGTCACACAAGGACCAACCCCATGCCTTTCTCTGCCTGGGCAGCCTCTGGAAAGCCTTGGAAGGGAGGTGTTCCTGTAGAGGGTCAGGCAGTGCTTACTGCCAGGATGAATGATTGCAACTGAGCTATGAACATCCAGCTCTAAAAGCTGCTAGGAGGGTGTGGGCCAGGCTGCTCCTTGAATTCTGCAGCCCCTGCAGATTCGGAGGAATGGTGACAGCTCTCGGTGTTCAGGAGGGCTCCCAGGGTCTGTCTACCCAGGGTCAGCCTCAGCACCTGTACAGCTGCCCCACTCACAGCTGCTGTGTCTTGGGCTAGGCAGTATCAGCCTTTACATCATTTAAAATGAGATTTTCCATCACTGGTGCTCTTGAAAGAGAAAAGGCTAGACCTTGGGGAAACCTTGATATTTAAAAATTTCAGACTTTTCAGAGATTTAAGATTGATAGTATGATTCCTCAAAAGTGACAAAGAACCACCCTTAGGGTTGGAAGAAAACCAAGTGTGATGTTGGTGGTTAACAGTGTCAAATGTACAGAAATCAAGTAACATCTATCAAGTAAGATATATCGTTTCACTAATAACTGTGCCACTGGTACTTTTAGTGACAGTGATTTCAGTGGAATAATAGAGGCAGATGCCAAACAACAGTCCAAAGTCTTCAAAGTTGCCAGATTTCCCCCTACCTCAATTAAAAGCATAAATTTCAACCACTTGCTTAATAGTATTGCACTGCCATTCTGGAAATGTTTCCTTATCAAGTGTTTCTTTCATCTTCTTTTCTTTAGACAAGGCGGGTATTTTTAACCTGAAGACACTGGGCCTCTTTAGAGTACAAGCAGAATAGTGTATTTGTACAATACATGTTCATTTTCTTTAAAGACAGTGATGATACCTTAATCACATTGTCAAAAGGTACCCTGACTGTAGATATTCAGTTTCAGATTTATGAAACACCTTCCCCTTGGCCACTTTACTTTCAAGAGTTTTCCTTCCCACAGTACTTGCCTAATAGGTCATTCCTAGTGTTCCAAATTGTCTGGGTATCTTTAGCACAGTATCCTGTAATGGCCCTGAAGCACTTCTTATGTAAGCCTTTCCAATTCTGACTAAATACTGTATTATCTATAATAATAAAAGTGTAATTAGACCGGACAGCCTAACAACCTTCCAGATGTCATTCCAGACATTCTTCCTAATGAAGCCGCAGTGGTTAGGGGCGATCAGGCAGGCAGGCGAACAGTTAGGGGCATCAGGCAGATGGGCATAGTGGTTAGGGGTGATTAGGCTATGAGCTATTCCTATCTAATACATAAAAATCTAGAAAGATCTAGAGAAAATAAAATAAAAGTTATTCCAGGTAAATATTGGACAGAAGAGCTGAAGTTGCTTCGTGAATACTGGATACAGGCTTAAAGCCAAAAACACAACTTATGAGATATCAACAAAAGGTTCCTTTCACTAAAGTGACAAGATGGTTCCCAATACTTATACACATAATAGAACATAATTATGTGTATAAGTATTGGGAACCATCTATCAATATTATGTGTGGGGGTTCAGAATGAGCCTCACCAAGATGTGTCTCAGTGGTATGCAGATTTTTGAACTAAGGGCAATTTTAGCTTCAGGCTCAAGTGAAAATTCTGACCCTCCCTTTAACTACCTTTAAAAAAAATTGAATCAGAGGCCTTGCCCATAATAACACATCATCTTATATAATAAAAAGCTAATATGCAAATTGACCCAACAGCAGAACAACTGGTCACTATGACATGTATTGACCACCAGAGGGCAAATGCTCAATGCAGGAGCTGTCCCCTTGTGGTCAGTGTGCTTCCATAGGGGGAGTGCTGCTCAGCCAGAAGCTGGGCTCATGGCTGGCTAGCACAGCAACAATGGTGGGAGCCTCTCCCACCTCCATAGCACCACTAAGGATATCCAACTGATGGCCTAAGCCATCAGTCAGACATCCCCTAAGGGCTCCCAGACAGCGAGAAAGTGTAGTCCAGGCTGAGGGTCTCCCCTCTCCAAGTGTATGAATTTTGTGCACCAGGCCTCTAGTCTATAAGGTTACATTTTAAGGTACTGGGAGATTATGACTTAAATAAATAAATATATATATTTATTTATATATATTTATATAAATATATATATGTGTGTGTGTACATACATACATATATATATATATATATATATATATGACTTGTTTATTTTATATATAAAATAAACACACACACACATTGGAGGATTGGAGGAGCAGGAACACAATTCAATTAATAAACATACCACTCCTGATATAAGGAAAAAACAATTGTGCGTTGGGGATTGGGGATGGGGTGACATAGGAAGGCAGAGAGACTTGTTTATTTTTTTGTACAAAGGAGTCAATATATAAAGGAGGAATAGTGATGGGAAGGAAAGGACCTTAGCTATAGAGTTAAGCAGCCCCAGATCTGCATCTTGTTTCTAGGCACTCACATAGGTAATGTCCCACCCCAGAGTTGCACAACTTCAAGAAAAATAACATTTTTACCTCCCAACCAATAACTTTATGGGTTGAAGAATTTCAGTGCCTACTTATTTCTATCTATTTTAAGAGTAGAACAATTAAACTCTCATCAGTGAAATTCAGAGGCATTATCTCAAGGGGGAAAAAATTAGATATTTTGATAGAGATAATGATTCCTGCTTTCCCTAGAAAAATTGATATGTAAACCAGTTGAGAAAACCCTGTCACTTTCTGTTCAGCATTGTCAGCCACGAATTTTCATCCAGCTAATGTAAACGGACAGTCAAGTGACTTGCCTTTAATTTATTGTGATTGGGTTATATTTATGAAAAGCAGACCTACAACAGCTAATAGTAAGTGTTTAGACACTGATTGTTTTTGTAGGTAGTTTTAAGACATTGCTAAAGCTAAGTAGACACCAAGTACGTTTGCTTAGTATATGAAATGTAAATCATTTTTTCTGTAATAATGAGTCTTTAAATGCATACATATATTATAAATGGTTACCTCATATCAGACATACTTTAATGGCACCAGTCTGCTCACTAAATATGTATTGCCTTTGAGAGTTAAACTAAAGAGGAGAGGTGGGAACAGACCTACCAGACAAAGATTTACCTGTTGTTCTTTTCTCTCCTGAAAAGGCAATCACCCCAACACCATGGATAGAAAAGAATGTTTTGCTCCTTCTGTGTCACATCATTAAAGTAGCTACTCTAAAGCCATAAATTTTTGAATTCTGGGCCAAGAAATTTTAAGTAAAATACTAACAAAAATGTTATGCTTTTAAATGAGAA